GAAGTTAAGACGTTGAAGGCACAAGTTCAACTTCCTTGAAAGGATCCAAGCATTGAGAGGAGCATTGGACAAGCGAGCTTCTACATTGAAGCCTTCCATTCCTCACTTTTTTGGTTTGAAATCTCCAAACCAAGAGGTAAATCTCTTCTTCTTCTATTATCTTGCTTCCATTGATTCAAATCAGGTCTTGCATATTTGATAATGATTAGATGAAGGCATGATCTTTGTTCTATTATTTCGAGCCTTGTGTCATATATTTGATCATGATTAGACGAATCCATGCTAGTTTCTCATGTTTTAAGAGTATATTGTAGTCATTTCCCTCTCTATCCTTTTTTTTCCCTCCCTTTGTATCATATTTATAGCATGTCATTAGCCTAGATCATGCATTAAGCCTGGTTTCATCACTTTTGAGATTATGTATTTGCTACATCTATGTTGTTTTGGTCGATTTCCATGTTTAAAATGCCTCATATGTCATTTTAGAGCATCTCCACCCAAACCTTCAAAATTTGATGTCATTTTTTTGAATGCTTATGTGGCAAATTGACATATGCGAATTTGACACGGAAGCTCTCCACCTGATATGTCAAATCTATTATTCTATTATTTTTAAAATTTAAACTCTTTTATTTTTACTAATTAAAATAAATTTATTTCTAAAAGAGGTTTGATGCCATTTAAATGATATTTTATATTTTTTTTAAAAAATGCTATATTTATAAAATAATTTTTTTAACAAAATTCAAAAATTTTATTCATTACTACTTAAAACATTTTTTTTTTAATTTGGTGAAAAAGAAAAATTAGAGTACAATACATATTTAAAAATAAAATGACAATACATACATATCATAATAAATCACAAGCTACGATTGCCCCCCCTGAAAATGCCACAGACATTCAACCAAATCTTTTTGGAGTTGTGAATGTGATCCTCTATCACAAATGCGCAAGTGATTTTGAATGAAATCTCTTAATTCTGTTGTATGTTCAAGTGACATCACAACATCACCACCTCCATCCTCTATTGTACCATAATTGGTTCGAATACGTTTACCATGTTCGTCTTCCACAATCATGTTGTGAATGGTTAAAAAAAAAATTACTCAACTTCAAATTTATAGATAATATAAGGGCAAATTACAAACACTCCCCTCGAGATTTGGTGAAAATACAGATTCCCTCCTGAGGTTTGAGAAATTACATCCCACCCCCTAAGGTTTATATTTCCATAACAAATTGCCCCCTGAGGTTTTTATTTTCATACAGATTCCCCTCTAATTTGTTATGCAAATTTGACCCTTAAGGGACAATTTGTAATTTCTCAAACCTCAAGGGGAATCTGTATTTTCACCAAACCTCGAGGGGGTGTTTGTAATTTGTCCATAATATAATAAAATAAAATAAATAATTTTTGGTGCGTCAAATCAAATGGTAATAAAGGTAGTACCATTGGAGAGAATTAAATTGAAAATTATTCCTGTTGGAGAAAGAATACTATCTTGGTAAAAAAAAAAAGTAAATAATAAATAAATAAAATAAAATTGAAACGTCATGACATGATTCAAGAAAATGTATTGTTCATACTTTAAATGAAAATAAATAAATAAATAAGAGCATGAAGGGGACTTCATGTCAAAATTAGCATGAAGGAGTGATGCAAAATGCCAACTCAGCATTTGGCATATCGGGTGGACTTCATTCTTCATGTCAAAATTGAGTTGTTGGACTGCCACATCGGATTTGGCATATCGGGTGGATGTGCTATGAGTTTTTGCATTAGTTTTTGCATGTTTAAGGTCATGCATTTGTAATAATAACTCTTCTTTTAACATGATGTTGAGGCGTACTACATGAGTTTTCTTTCTTTTCCTTTTGCATTTTGCATGTGTTATGCTTCTATGAGTTTACTTGCAATACGTGCCATATCTCTATGATTGCCACTTGTTTGGAAGTCATTTTGCCTAAGTTGGGATTGTTTTCATCTTCCATGACAAGCTGGTTTCCCTTTTCTTTTGAAACCCTATTCAAAACAAACTCTTTTAAAAATCAAAAGAAAATGAAAGCATTCCAAAATAGGCGATCCGATTTGTTGTATGCTTCACATGGAAAATCTAGCTATATTAATAAATTGGGATATGAACTTTATTTGGCAATGAATCTAATAAAGAACTAGTAGAGGCGAATTCTTTTATATTGAGCTTAAGGTGTGCTCAATCAATGACCCTTTTCCATACCTAAACTCCCAGACCGAGATTTTTGGTTGCAATGAGTCAGTGGCCTACATTAATACAGAGTTAGGGTTTCTTAATTTTCTTTAAAGATTTGGCGCCGACTCCAAGTCTAGTGAATCAATCTTTATTTGGCAATTTGTGAGATAAATTGACTTATGAGAATTTTACGGTATATTGCCAAATTTAGACCTAGATGATTCACTCATGCTTTTTCAAAGGACGGTCGAGCAAACCGAACATGTGGGTGCACCCTAAAAAGGGCGTGGTATCCACACTGCCTTTCTCCATGGGATACCTAACCACATTAAAATCTCCCTCCCCACACACCACAACACCCCCATCTAAACATCACTCCAACTCCTCCCAAGACCCAACAGGTTGAACACTATTGACAGGGCCATAAACCCTAGTAAAAGCCCATCTAAAATCGTCCTCCAAACACCGAAATAAGCATGAAACTGAAAACCCCCCGCATTCTTCCTCCTTCACCATCACTCTTATATCCCACCAAAGAAGAATCCCTCCCAAAGTTCCCTTTCTCGCGCGGGCGGGGGGGGGGGATAAATCCACTCCTCAAACTGAAACCCTCCCCTCCCCCCCCCACCCCAAACACCTCCCTTACCACCTCAACACCCAACTCTTCCATTTTCGTTTCTTGTAAGCAAACATCCACCTTGGCCTTCCTAACCATAGATTTAACCACACCCGTTGTGCTCTGCCATTCAACCCACACACATTCCGTGAAAGAATCTGTAATCTCATTTCAATACCATGCTCCTTCCTCCTCATAAATGACCCAAAAACCCATGTGATGCTTTCAATTTTTAAGCCACCCGCAACAGTGATACCAGCCACCGACCTCAAATTCAACCAAGCCAATCTCTTGTTGTAAGCCTTGCTCCCTTTCTACAATCGACACCCGACATCGGCCAATCCAGTTTGCATCGGCCTCCTCAATCTCGAATGACCGCTCACCCAAGAAAGGGATCCTCTGCCGTTTGCCTATCTCTGGCACCACCAAAGGTTTCCTCTCATCTCCTACATAGGCTATTAATTTCCAAACAAATGGTAGTTTTGTCCCTTTTAGTAATTTTAGTTTGGGGCAGAATTGTAATAAAAAAAATTTTATTAAAAACGGAGTGTGCAAACATAAAAATGGGGTGCATTTAGAAGCACCCATTAAAGAGAGAAGGCAGCTAGTGGGGTTCTCTCTCACATACATGCATGCTTTTTCCTATGCTTTCTCTCTCCTTGTCTCCTCTCTACCTGCTATCTAATAGTGGCAACGAGTAAATACATAATAGCTTAAGATTTAATGGAAGCATGGCCTAAGATAGTGCTTGGTGAAGGCAGACTAGTGCAGTTGAGTAGGTAACCCCAGAAAGTTCAGAATGCAGTTGAGGGCTAGGATCGCACCCAATTACCTAACTACATAGCCGTGTCTGGCCTTTGCCTAAACACCACCACAACTTTAGAAAACTACCTACTTGGGTAAAAAATAGCTTCAACAATATTTCAGCATCACAGAACAAGTTTTTTTCTGAAGATATGACAACACTCCATATAAGTTTTGATTCTAAAAATAATATCCGTGAACATAAGCAACATTATCTTACAAAGGAAGATTGCCATTGGCTCCTTGAATTGAGCTTGAGACACCTTATTATTCTCCTGTAAAAATGTCCCATTTCTAATCAACTCTTTCTTAGCTTAGGTTTTAGGCACAATTCTCAACACATTATTCTCTCAATCGTCAAACTCTTCATTTCTAGCCATACCACAAAGTTTTTAAAAGTAAATGCATAACTCAAGGTGTTTTAGCCCTCATGAGGCAAGGAAGCATCTCAAATTTTAAATTTTAGCATGTAGCAAATGAATTAAATATTTTAATATAGTAAATATAAATACATACATATATATATAAATTAAATATAAAGTTGCAAATACTTTTCTCGTTAAAGCGTCGAACATTTAACTGTAGGGACAGAAATTTGCTTTTATTGTAAGTGAAATTAACATCCTTAGCTTTAGTGATTGAACTTCTCACTTGAGCAATTAACTTTATGTTTTTTCTTGATAGGTCATTTACTTAATTTTTTTTCTTTTTCTTTTCTTTTTTTTTTTTATAGAATACTGTTGCAAAATGAGTTCTTTTTTTATTTTTTGCTTTTTTATCTTTAAACAATCTACTAGACTAAGCTTAACAAGAGCCGAAGACAACCTCTTCATATGCATACTCCTCATATGTTTATGCACAGAAGGTGTACAAGGTGCACCTAAGGCACATGCCTCAGCCTGTGATGTGCAAGCCATTGGGGAGTATTAGCCTAAAAGTCAAAACCTTGATGTGTTTTACCTTAGCCTCGAGGCAAGGAAAGCATAGAGGCAAGCCTCAATAAAGCCTTTTCAAACTCACCAATTCCTTTATTTTTTTGGTGATACGACGCGACCATACAGTCCATATGAAACAGATTGAGTTAAAAATGGTGAAGTCTCATGCTAAAATGAGTCTATACTCTACTATAGTGTTTATGCATAAGAGGTTTACTGTACTGCAGTCTTGTGGCAGGATTGGTTAAATTTCTTTTATCAAGTCATTACTTTTAAACTAATTTTTGAGCTGTGGTAAATGCAATTATAAAAGAATCCAACTTGATAAGACCACGCCAGACAATTGTTATACCACTGAAATAACCAAAAGACAGAAAATAAATTTGTAATGCAAACTAGGACTTGAAACAAGAGGGAAGCATTGTAACTCACCAATATTCTCTTCTATGCGAAGAACAAAGTATCTGCAATGAAAGAAATATTAAAATGCAGCCATGCTTATAGATACTAGGTTTTATATTAAATCAACAAAATAGAATCCATCCTTTTAATTTGTAGTTTAAAAAAATAACCCTGCACCAAAAAAAAAATTTTAAGAAATAATCTATCAACAATAAACAATGATGGATTTCAGTTTTCGTAACAGATGGAGTTTACCTGCTACTATCTATTACGGGCTCCACAGGATGTGGCTCTCCATCTCTCAAGAACGCCCGAGCATACAATTCACCTATTTTAAAACATCAGATTGATAGACATAGATTATGTATTGAGAATGCAATAAAATATTCCAGAACATTATTCCACCTGTTGTCTTATCTTCAAGTCTGATAATGCACTCTTCTCCCTTGCTAACAACTTTCAACATCCCCTCCCATGCCCATTTATTGACATTCCATTCATCAGCCCTATAGAGAAGTGAAAGTAGATAAAAATCTATATCTCCAATATATTTAAAAACATTTCAAATAGGAAGCACCGAAGGATATTGAAGTGTAGTGCACAAAGCATAGATATATTTACATATAACTTTGTCAAAAAATTCTGCAATTATACCTGATTACCAAGGAAACAGAAAATATCATATAGTAAACTTACAATTGTAAATGGATTTGTAGTGGAAGTTGAAACTCAGAGTTCATTTACTTTTATGATATTCAGCAATCGAACTAACTTTAGGAAAAAATATATCGCAAAATGGTTTCCCGAGAAATTCTATTATTGTGTTGGTGATGTAGCCACAATTTGGGGCCATGATTTAGGGATTTGACACAGACAGATTTTAAGAATATTTTATCTTATTTTAATTATTTTAGAATTAATATTTGACTAGGAAATCTTACATTTTCTATTTGTTAAATTTTGACTTGTATTGGAATCTTTAGTTTTTCCTATTTTATGTGTTTCTTTTTCTACAAGAATTATCTTTTCCTTATTTGTTTTCCTTAATTAGCAAGAATTGGTCTTTTTCTTTTAGATATTGACTAGCAAGAATTATTTTAGTATAAATACATATTTAAGTCTTGGAACAAATCAAATTTTGATGAATTATTAATAAATTAAAGTGTGTTTTCTCTATATCAAGTTGTTCGTAGTTGTTCTTGTTGCTTGTGTTCATTTCATGCACACTTCCTTGCATTAGTTGGTATCAAAGCTTGTGCTCAAGTACTGATATTGGCGATAAGATAAGCACCATGTGGTTGATATGCCACGAGAGATGCTGCTGCACGAGCTGCCAGATCAGAGAATAGAATATTGGCCAACCAAGTGGTTGCCTTGGATGTTGAATTGACCTAGCAAACATCCAATAAGCCTACATACTCAGGAGGATGAAGAGGTATTAGACAACATTACCATTAACCCTTTCACAAAGCCAAAAGAAAGGCCCAAGAGAGTCATGATGGCTACGATTGAGTTGCTATTCACATCAACTATTATTCCAAATCCAATTGTCGATTGGAATAAGCTTTCACTTTTTTTGCACAACCAATTAAAGTTATTAATGAAGTTATAGATGGAGATTAAAAGAAAAAACATTTTTGATGAAGGTGATACAATTTACCAATATGAAGATTCATTGTATTTTATGAATCACAACTCATATTTTTCAAGGTTTATAAAAAAAATTTAACTATTGGTCCCTTTATTTTGACTCAATAGGTTGATTGGATGGATGTCGCTATAAAAGTGGGAAAAAGTTCTGTTAAAAAAATCAATGTATAAAAAGAAATAGAGAATTGTATTATTGATTGATTTTATTGATATATTATTGATATATATTACAATGATTCATGATTCCTATATATAGAAGAGGGTGAGTGTGTAGTAGGTAAGGAGTAGGTGAAGTGGAGGTGGTAGTGGTGTAGTGGGTTAGGTTTAGTGGAGTAGGTGAGGTGGTAGTGGTGTAGTGGGTTAGGTTTAGTGGAGTAGGTTTAAGTGGCGAAGTAGGTGATAGGTTTTAACAAGTTCAAAGTTCAACAACAAAATTCCAAGCTTTACCATCGCAAGAAGATTCTAGTAGCTATTGCATATCATCTCACTTTCAAAATTCGAGGACGAATTCTATTCAAGTGAGAGAATGATGCAGCTTGGATTTGGGCCCATGATTTGGGATTTGATGCAGAGAAGATTTTAGGAATATGATATTATATTTTAATTATTTTAGAATTAATATTTCAATAGGCAATCCGGCCATCTTAATTTTTTTTTTTTTTTTTTAATTTTGACTAGGATTACAATATTTAATTTTTCCTATTTTGTGCTTCTTTTTTCTACAAGAATTATCTTATCCTTATTTGTTTTCCTTGATTAGCAAGAATTAGTCTTTTCCTTTTGATTGGCACCGGGGTTGTCCAAATCAAAACCTAACTCATCCCCAAGCGTGCACAAACCCTTGACTGTAAAGAATTATTTTAGTATAAATACCTTTGTAAGTCGTGGGTTAAATTAGCTTTTGATGAATTATTAATAAATTAAAGATTGTGTTTTCTCTATATCACGTTGTTCAAGGTTGTTCTTGTTGCTTGTGTTCATTTCAAACAAGCTCCATGCATCAGTTGGCATAACAAGAAAAATGATATTTTAAGATTGCTAATTCAACAAGCCTCGTAGATGAGGCAAATGTAAGTTGTTAGTTGGCCGGTATTGAAGGGTGTCCCAGTGAGCTCTGACTGAGATTTCAAGAATCAAGCCCAAAGGGAAAAACTAGGTAGTTATATTTATGAGATGCCACAATGCTTTATGATATGTAGTTCTTAACAAAAATAAAAATAAAATAAAAACAGGAGCTACTTTATTTATTCATGTACTAAAAATCTATGACTTTTCTTTTAAAATACCTCATTGCAAAAAATAGGCAATTGTAACTAAAGTTTCAACAACCACATATATTTCAACAAACTATGATAGCACTAAACCATAAAAAAGATGTCCCTGCTTTTATCAAAGTCATAATTGTATCATCCAACATGACATGGATGCGGTGTCACTGTTGTGCGTGAAGCACAGCGGTGACTGTTGTGCGGCTCGTGAGACTCATTTTGGGTCCTATTTTGATGATCCGAATCGTTCAAATTTTAGAATATATCGAGAACAATATACTTGTAAAAAATCAAGTTAATCAAATATGAATGACTTGTTCATCAAATCACATCTTTATATAAAAAAAATTAATATGTATGTATCAAACTAAATACAAATGTTATTTGATGTAGGGGTTATTAACATTCGATCAACTTGATTTTTTGCAGATATATTATTCTCGATATTTTCTAAAATTTCAACGGTTCAGATAATCAAAATATGACCCAAAATAAGTCCCACAGGCCGCACAACAATCACCGCTGTGCTTCAAGCACAGCAATGACACTGGATCCACATGACATGCAATCCAATGCCTTCACATCTACAAAGGATAATCATGACATGTGGATGTAAAGCAATCACGAGGAAAATATCCAAAACAAAATATGATCACTAATTTAAAGCCCATCAGAATAGGGTAGTTGGCCTAGTGGTCCACGTAATTGTCCATTAGGACAGTGAAAAGGTTAGAGGTTCAAGGTTTGAGTTGATGAAGTAACTGCAGCCCTTTCATTGTAATCCAACTTACTAAGCCACTAACATCCTATCGTTTGGCCCAAAAAAAACAAACTTAAAGCCCATCAAAAGGAGGGAAATTTTCACTTTACCCTGCATGAGCCCATGTACAGATTACCCCTTATCATTTGAAAATGACCACATAACCTCCTTGAGGTTTGTGGACTTAAGCGCACTAACAAGCCCATTGCCAGCTTAAGCGAAAAGATTAAAATACCCTTGTATATAAATAACCTTATCGTGCAAACCATGGACATTTTTGTCATTTCTTATGAGGCAAAGTTCGCTTTAATCCCCTATGCTTTACTCCATGTGCAATTTACCCCCTAACATTTAGAAATGAGCACATAACCCCCTTATGTCTTGGCACATATTTCGCACTTGTTGCTAACTTGGACGGAATGACTAACGATGCATTTCAGTCCACCAACCACAAGAGAATTATGTACTTATTTCCAAATGATAAGGAGATAATCTGCACATAGGCCAAACCTCAAGGAGGTAAAGTACAATTTTCCCAAAGAAAAAATATATATATATATATATAAATATCCATGACACTAATCCTAACCGTTAAAAGAGAACCACTTCATGATTTTAGAAAGTGTCCAACTCTCTCTTTACTTGGATGATATACTAGTGATTTGTCATTGACTACAAACTGGAATAAATCAAATTCCACTAAGTAATTTTTTAGGAGAATTACACTAACCATCCCTGTAATTTGAAACTTGTGTCACTTTGATCCCTAACTTTTCAATTGTAATACATTTGACCCTAAATTTTGAATCTTATTCCAAACAAAAAAATTTTAAAACACATCATTGTTATATAATTTTATATTTTGGATGGGTAGAAATAAATTTTTTAAATAAATTTTTTTTTTTGATATTTATTTTCGTCAAATTAGTTTCTATTTTTTCAAAGGTCAAACATAGCGACAACTTTGATGTCATTATTAAACCAATCCATTAAATCAAAAAATCCAAAACTAAAATATTTCATATATTAAACATATCGATTACAATTTAAAAGCCTAATAACAAGGGATGGACATGTGAAAACCCACATTTAATTATCCTTAAAAGAAAATAAATAAATTAATTTTATCCAAAGTTTATCTAAATTATATATTAGTATAACAGTTAGTTTTATATTAACCCAATTCAGTCACTCACAAAGACATTATTAAGAATAATAATTTTGTGGGTATTCAATATTTGTTGTTTATAAATTATTTCAATAAGAATTCAACATGATAATTATTCTTACTAAATACCTTAATTAAAAATCTTATTGTATCAGTTTTAAGAAACCCACATAAATACACAAATTAAAAACCAAACCAGACCAAACCAAACCTAGCCTTAAGTCCCATCAAATGGGGTCGGCTACATGAATCCTTCTTCTCCACGCAGCCCTATCAAAGGCCATTTCGTTAGTCAAATTAAGTAGATCCATATCTCTATTTACAACGTTAGCCAACGTTAATCTAAGCCTACCCCGTCCCCTAACACTTCCCTCTACCATTACAGCATCACATCTCTTCACTACTGCCTTTGTTGGTCTTCGTTGAATGTGACCAAACCATCTCAATCAATTCTCTCTCAACTTATCTTCTATCGGTGCTACTCCTACCCATTCCCGAATACACTTATTCCTAATTCTGTCTTGTCTAGTCTTACCACACATCCACCTTAGCATCCTCATCTCAGCCACACTCATCTTATCTACATGTTGTTTCTTGGTTGCCCAACACTTCGTCCCATACAACATCGTTGGTCTAATAGCCATTCTATAGAACTTACCT